GCTCTATAAAAATCATCATCATCATCACCATTTCCTCCTTCTCACTTCAATTCACCCATTAGTTATTGAGCTGCAAAAAGGAGTGCATAATGCATTCTTTCTTTAAATAAATGGCACCTGTTCAAGAAAATTTTTCGGCATTAGTGATTTATCTTTCAACCTGAATTGCTGCATTTTTATAAGAATTTAGGGGTGCATTGCTGTATTGCCATTAAGAATTCTTTTTATATTGTTGTTGAGTATTGGGGATGATTTTTAGTGCATAAAATAAACTAATTGCTTAATATGTGGAATAAAAAAAAATTAAATTCACAAATCTTTTCTGGTCCGACAATCGACCTAGTTTTTACCATTCAATGAGTACACATGTATCTAGTCTATTCAGTCAGTTTGTATTATTCAAAAAAAAAAATAAAAATAACAAGTGTAGCACAAATAAATGGATGTGGAATATAAAATAAGTGGAAAAACCACGTACAATATTAGATTCATCGATTTTCATCAAGCACATAAAAATCGGAATCAAATTTTTTGTTCATTTGTATTTGCTTTTATTCTATTCGAAATCAGTACAGTTCATGTACATAAATGTGTTATTTTAATGCTTTTTTTGTCCGGATTTAATGGCACTTGCTTCTAGTTCTTTTGTTATGAAATTATTTCACTAGCTTGTCTTGATTATAACGTGCAGGACGAGACAACAAAACATGGAAAAATAACACAATCAAGGCTGTACTGAATCAGAATTATTATTATTATTTTATTGGATATAGTTTTTTTTTGTGTATGAATATTTAGATCTTTTTGTGGATTTTATGATGAAATTAAATATATTCGAGTTTTTTGGTAACTGAAAATGAGGATTCGGAACTGAAATTCAATCAATATGAAGTGGTTTACAGTTGGTATCGTTCTATGGAGGTTCAAATGACAAATTAATGATTTTTAAACAACTGCTTAAAATTTATGAAATTTATAAAGCCTCTTACAATGCTTTTAAGCTCTTATTCGACTAAAACCTTAAAAATACAATCTCAATAAACCCAATCCTACTAAGGTTCAAATCTTCCCATTCATTCCCATCTTCACATCCATTCATTAAAAACTTTTCATTTTTCAATCACAATTCGCATGGAAATATAGAAACAAAGCTATCAGTTTCCCTCAATCTCATAAATTTATTTTTACAACGCCTAAGTAATTTGATGAATTATATTTTATTAAATACTTCGCCTTCTTTATGGACCATTTCATTCAGTCAATGCTCTGATATCAGTGAATTTTCATTATTAATTTAATTTAAGAATCATTTGGGCGTTCTTTATATTTTAGTCCTGCGTGGGGTTTGCAGCATTTCAAAGACATTTATAAATATAAATTGACAGAGACAATGTCGAGATGTTTTGTGAGTTGTTGGAGATTATAATTAACGTCAGTTCTGTGGAATAATATTTTTGGAAGTATCTTCTTTGCAGTATTTATAGTAGTACTTACGCAAAAAGAAATTGATGTACGTACGTGTGGATAAAGATTTATTTTTAGGCAATTGGGAGAATGTAATCGAAGAGAAGTGAACTTTCTTCTTAGCTGGAAACTGTCAGACGTTTTGCAGATGAATTTTCAATTTTTTAAGGCAAATTACTCTAAGTCAGTGATATCCAACCTTTTTTTGTGTTACGGTACACCTTGATGTTAAGCCATGACTGAAACCTCACATGCAAATTGACCTTACATCCTTTAAAATACCAACAATCTCATTTTCATGATCATGACGCAAAACACTCCAAACAACATCTTCCATAAATCTCCATCACCTTCACATCCTATTTTAAGCATCTTCAAATGCAATTTTAACTTTATTTCCCACACAAAAGTATGAAGATATGTACAATAAGCTATTCAAAAACCATTAATATCCAGTTTAAAAATATAAAAAAAATAAGTATGAAGAAGACTTTATTTATGACTCCGATGAGATTTAAACACGCGATCAGTAAACTCGTGCAGAAGCGTTTATCATCCAATAATTTATTAAGTTTCTGAAACAATTTTGCTGGTGAATTATGGATTAATGATATTGGATATTTGTTTTGGAGGTTAAAAGGGTTTTTTTTCTCATAAAATTTCTAGCGCTACTGTTCGCCATAAAATTTCCATTGATTTTCAATTCCTGAAATATTTTCCCATCATATTGTAACCCCCTTGAGCCAGGTCATGTTGCTTTACAAAGTCTTAGCATTTGCCAAAAACCCTACAATTTATATGTCCTAGTAACAACCAAAAACATGCACAATTCTTTACTTCTTTAAAGCCTATTCAATTCACAATTTCGAACTCAAATCACATTCACGAAAATTCTACTTCCTCCAAACACATTTCGCAAATTTTATGGTGATTCGAATATATCACGTTCCGTACATAAAAACCCACAAATTAAATCCATTAAATTTGAAATTCTCGCATACACTTCCAACAAGAATGCCTCGATTCATCTTATAGACTCATTTGAAGCACTCTGTATACATGCTCGAATATTTTTTCACATATTGATCTTCTTCGCTATCAATTTTTGCATTTAATTGCTATTTTTTAGGCGTCACACTGACTATGTGTGAGCATTAGTTGAATCTAATAAGATTTATTCAATATCAATAAAAATATATTTTTAGGACTGACTGCAAAAACACGAATTTGTTTCTCTTAGTAATCAACAGATGATGAAAAAAAAAACAATTGAGAACAATTTTTTTTGTGCTGTATATTTGCATTTTCACAACACCACAAGCGATATCAGTTTAAATTATCGACCAATATGTTTTTTCATATTTTATTTTTATCTATTGTTGTGTGTCAATCAACACAATATGGATGCATGAGTTCAATTGAGTGTCAATAATGCATATATGAAATTTATGCTTTATTTTTTCATGTAGTTGAGTTTGAAATTTGCACTTCCATTCTGTCAATAATATTTCGAGATGATTTCAAGTTCAGATTACAGTGAGTGCACTCTAATAATGAGTGGAATTTTCCCAACATTGTATTGCGTCACGAAAAATTATTCAAAGTATTGACTTGAACCGAATTGAACTGAACTGAATTCAACTGAAACTGAATTGAACTAAATTGAGCTGAATTGAACTAAATTGAATTCAACTGAAACTGAATTGAACTGAATTGAGCTGAATTTAAATGAATTTAAGTGAACTGAATTGAATTGAATCGAATTGAATTGAATTGAACTGAATTGAATTGAATTGAACTGAATTGAGCTGAATTGAACTGAATTGAATTCAACTGAAACTGAATTGAACTGAATTGAGTTGAATTGAGCTGAATTTAAATGAATTTAAGTAAACTGAATTGAATTTTTAATTGTACTTAATTGCATTTATTGACGACATACTGTCCGGTAATAATTCACATTTTACACTTTAGTATTTGTATACATATGAATTAATATTATGTAGGATCAAACTTCTAATCTTCAAATCTAGGTTTCAAATAAACCAAGGCTCTCGTTTCGATCTTCTGTAGGCGTGACGTGATACTTTTCAGGTCCGTTCTAACAATATTCCATTCGTGGGTAATCTTGTAGCTCTCGTTCCTATTTCTCCTGCTACACTTTAAGTTCCTGACCCGTTCCTTAATCCAACGTTGCCCAAATGCCCAATTATGGCTTGATCTCCTCCATTAAGCAGTCGAAGTATCTAAACTTCCGAAAAAGAACAAATTTGGAAAATGACTGGATTCGAACCAACGACCTTCGAGTTACCATCCCAAATTTGAGCCAAGCGCCTTACCTATTCGACCAGCAAGGCACTTAACTGCTGAATTGAATTGAATTGAATTGAACTGAACTGAACTGAATTGATATGAATTGAATCGAATTGAATTGAATTGAATTGAATCGAATTGAACTGCATTGAACTATATATATAATGTGTGAAGGGCCCAGCCTTTCAGCTGGAGGCACTGCGATTCAAATTAATTGAACTAAATGAAATTAAATTGAAATGAATTGAATTGAATTTAACTGAACTGAACTGAATTGAATTGAATTAAATTGAATTGAACTGAATTGAATTGAACTGAACTGAACTGAGTTAAATTGAATTGAATTGAATTGAATTGAACTGAATTGGACAGAATTGAACTGAATTGAACTGAATGAAACTGAATTGAATTGAATTGAGTTGAATGGAACTGAATTGAACTGAATTGAGTTGAATTGAACTGAACTGAACTGAACTGAACTCAACTGAAACTGAAACTGAATTGAACTGAATATAGCCGAATTGAGTTGAAATGAGCTGAATTGAGTTGAATTTAAATGAATTTAAGTGAACTGAATTGAATCAAATTGAATTGAATTGAATTGAATTGAACTGACCTGACCTGAATTGAACTGAATTGAACTGAATTGAACTGAATTGAACTGAATTGAACCGAATTCAACTTCATGCACTGTGTAGAACTTGAATTGAAGTTAAATTTACTAGAAGTTAATCGAAAATTAGCACACAAGTCTCAAACCTTACTCAAGCACTAATTATTACAATAAACATTATTAAATATACATGTGAATCTAGTTACGCGAGTAAATCAACACAAATTACGACTCACTAATTAGGTTTAGCATTTAGATCGAATAAAATTTCAACTTACAAAGTCGTACAAGTCAATTAGTCGCACAACCTATAAAACAGCAATCTCCTCGTGAAAAATAGCATAACACGGAGTAGAAAAAATCAATAAAAAACAACAAGCGAGAAATAAAGTCAAGTTTTATGTAATAATTACACAAATACAATTTTTTTCGCGCTTCTCTGCCGCCATTGCTGCTGCTGTCGTTGATGCAAATACATAAATTTTAATATAAACCTTTTTTCCTGTTCCACCTGCTGAAAATAAATTTTCACTCTCTCTCGTCATGAAAATAAATCTAGATTTTATGTTTGTGCACTAACAAATAATATCTGCATTTCTCTCATCCACAGGTTTATCCAGGACGTGATATTACGAATATTGTCGAGTCATCACACTACCAGAAAATTGGTGGATGGTGTAGACAAGGAGTGTCAAGTTTAGGAAAATGCAAAGGCGCACAAAGATGGATCAAGCCATTCCGATGCTTGGGTGAGTACAGCTTTTCTAGCTTTATTACCATAATGCTGATATAATTTTATGGGTATCATGCTCCATCGATTTTTCTTTCTTTTGTATTCATACATCAACCCTTATACTCTTGTCTTACATAAATGATGTGATGATGATGATGAAGAATGAAAAAGGACACATAAAAAATGGAGAAACTACAAATCTCAATTAGAATTAGTGACTTTGCATGTTTATCGAGCGCCATCGTCTTTATGGATATGAAAAACTACTATTATTAATGACTGTAGTAAGAGATTTGGTGCTCACACTTAATGTATGAACTATGTATGATTGGGGGTTGCTTATTCATGACAATGAGATGAAACGAGTTGGTTTGGGGGATTTTTCTTAACTTGGGGAGTTGAGAGGGGTGACTTTGAGATTCTTCTATTGCTTATTGACTGGAAATAGAGAATATGAGTAGAAATTGAGTAGCAAGAAGTGTAATAGAGAATTTTGAACGCTAGAAAGGTTGAAATTGGAATGAGACAAGGGGGATAACAACATGTTGGAATTTTCTTTGAGGAGGTTTACTGTTACGTACCTACCAAGAAGCCTACCTTGAAGAAAACCCTGTTTTAAATTCCTAACATGATGTAAAACTTGTTAGAATTTTGAATTAATTTTTTTCCCATCATGTTGTTATCCCCCTGAGATGAAGCAAATGAATCTACCTTACCTTAGGCTTTATAACCTAAAAATAAATTCTTTTCGCGTTTAAGATGAAAATTTCAACTCTGTACTTACTGAAAAATAAAGCTTCATTTCCTAACCTCATTTCCATCAACCTCAAAACTCCATAAACTGCCAAATTCAACTCTAGTCAAACAAAACATGCACAGCAAACGTTTAAACAGCTCAATCAGCATCAGTATGAATAGATAATTCCATACCAAGAATTCCTGATTTCCTAACCTCCTTATTTACAATCTACACCACAAAACAATCGCAACATAAATGATTTTTCCACGTTGTTAGGTATTTATACGAGATAACAGAAAATAATATAAAAGAAAATCCATTCCACAACAGATGTACATCAAATTGGATTTGATAGCATATCATACATCAATGAGCATCTATCTCACATTTCTCAGATCCAAAGTTGGCTTTATTTATTATATGAAACAAATGTTATCAAGTCTTTCTCACTCTTCTGTTGTTGTCTATATGACTCTTTATACTCTTGAATTGCTTTTTATCTATAACTTCGCATATATGAGCATATAGAATTGTACATTTACGTACACACAATGCCCCCTTTTTTTTCCTTCCTCATAAATGATGATCTAATAAATTTATCGTCTGTTCGTTGTTCAAGTCATCAGTATGCTCATTTATTATCAGCAGAAAAAAACCTTATAGAGGCAAAGTGAATGGTTTGAAAAATAAGAGTAAAATAAATGAGTGAGGAAGTGAATGGGAGATATTGAGTGAGAAAAAGAGTTATTTGAATGAAAATTCTTCTTTTGTTTGTGAGATGAACTGGGAGGAGGAGATGCAATAAAAGATGTAAATGTGTGTATTTTGAGATAGATGGATGCTGGACTTTGAAATTTGTTTTTTTTTTTCAATTTTGAGGATGGAAAGAAATTGTTGAATGGGAATTTGTTTTCTGGATTCATTCATAAATTTATGTTAATTTCTAGGGTTTATTAATAGAATTTTAGTCAGAGCGGTGTCTAGACAAGCCTTATAGCCGTTCAGAACTTAAAGATTCGGTAACGTGTGATTTAAAAGATTTGCGTTTAAATTATAAATAAGTCTGTAACAAATTGCTGTTACATATTTATTTAACGGAAAGTCGTTAAATAAATTATTTGAATTAATAACGGAATTTGGAGATTTAAATATTTCTGTCCCAGTAGCAAACCCCTCTCAATTTGATTTGATCAGTTGACACAACATTTTTGAGACGTGGAGAAAGGACAATTTATTTAAAATCCACAAATAAATTTAAATAGAGCAGGAAATAAAGATTGAAGTTATAGATTAATAGAACTCACTTCGTTTCATTTAAATTTATTTATTTACGGGTTTAAAAACTCCGCACTCCGTCACAAAAATCTTTTAAATAAATTTCGTCACTGAAAACTTTGGTTAAAAAGTTTTCCAGCACTTAATTAGCGATAGAGCTAATTAATTTATATTTGGTAAAGCTTATCGAAGTAGCTCGATAAGCAGTTCATGACGAGAAATTGGAATTAGCTCCAATTTTCTCGATTTTCAGTTTACAGAACACGTGTTACTGGAAGCGTGCAATTTGATTGAAATAGCTCAATCATCTGCACTGGATCTTAGTCTTCCGATAGAGGAAGCTTGTTCTCATCATTAACAGCTGAATTGATCGTGTGGGATCCACAACATTCTTCTGTTCGTCGATTTTATGGTGAGAAAATTCACGTGGAACATAGTGAATTTATCGTTTGAATTTAGGTATCTTGTTGCTTGATTTTGCTGTCTGGATTCATAGAGTGTCGCCTCTTCCGTCTGTTTATTGCTGTATTTATCAGTATCAAGTCTGAAAAGCATAAATTGAAGTCGGTTCGTATCATCCAGAAGTTTAAGAAAAGTCAGGTTAAATGGCAAAACAAGATCCAATTGCCTTCACTAGCGAAGGTAGCATAAATCCTCAATGGACGCAACACATAAATGATCGAGATGCGCTAACGTCAGAGATAGCTGCATATTTCTTGTCGGGCGAGAAGCTGAAATTGGATGTGAATTGTTTGGCAACTGAATGTGTGCTTAAAAGTCGCACATGCAAGCTCGACAATAAAGATACAAAGAAAGCTGAATATAATCCAATGATGCTGTGCTTTTTCTGTAATCGCACGTTTCACACCGCATGTTATGATTTGGATTCTCATTTAATTCGAGAAGAAACTGTTCCTTGGAAGTGCATTGAATGTCGAAGAGATCTTTTAAATAAGCATTGTAAAGATTATTATATGAAGACAAAATATCAAGACAATTTGTTATCAAGACGATCAAAGTTATTACTTTCTGCATGCCTGCCTGAGTCTGATGAAGATCTATCAGGTGATCTTGAGTTTTGTATAGCTGATATTAATTCTTTCGAGAGAAGAGCACTTGCAATCATGGCTGAAGAAGATCCTGAATCAATTGCTGACATTACCGCTATTACTCCTTTACTTTTGAAAAGAGTGATGAAGTCCAAGTCCGATAAGAAAGCCTCGATAGAGAGTGCTGAAAGATATCGACTTGAATTAGAGCAGAAAATTAAGGAAATCGAGCAGTTGAAGATGTCAATGTCGAGAGCAACAATTAATATACGAGAAACAAGTCATGATGAAACAATGGCTAATACGTCAGTTAGTGGATCACCTAGCTTCAGCGAAGCTCATCATTCGTCTAGAATGCACACGTCTGGAAGCGATAGAGCTACCAATTCGTTGATAGGACACTATCTTGGACATGAAAGAACGTCTGATTTGGAAAGTAGTACTTATCAGTATCAACCTCAAGATATTTCTCGCAATGAGAACCCAGCAATTAATGTAACAAATGCTACGAATCAGTCACATCAACTAACAGTAGATCAATCAGATCTGGCTTCGCTAGTCGCACGATTAGCATTACAAAATGATAAGAAAGAAGAGAGAAAGCTTCTTGAAGACAGAAGAAAAGCCATGCCCAAAATGATAGAATTTAGTGGTGAAGAATCCAAATGGTTGATCTTCAAACGTGACGTGGAACGGTATAGATTGAACTGTCAATACGATGATGAGACAGTCAAAACTTACATGCGTGGTGCTTTAAGAGGTGAAGCTTATCAGATCGTTCGAGATATTCTTGAAGATTCACCAATTGATGATATTATGGAACATCTAAAGAGAGCATTTGGTGATGAAATGCGAATGGTACGAAATAGAAGTGAGGAACTTCGCAACTTGAAGTTCGGTCCTGTTTTGCACAAATCAGAAGCTGTAAAGCTGCAAGTAGCTATTCAGTCATACTTTGCCGCTTGTAACTACGCACGTATTGGATATATCAATACAAACATCATAGCGGAAGCTATTTTCTATCAATTTACAATTGAAGACCGTCAGCGATGCAGAGAGTATTACGAAAGGAAGAATCCAGGATGTACGACAATTGTTATGAATGTTCAGACAATTTATGATTATTTAATGAGTAGATTGCCGTTACTTGATGAAGCTCCAGTGAAGAAAAAAGTAGAAACTGATTATAAGCCAAAGAAATATGATAAACCTTATCAAATGAATTCGACCAGTTATGGATCGTCACAATCGAATGATAATTACAAGTTCGAGATAAAAGACAAGACCAAAGCTCCATTCATAGGATATCATGTTGATAAAGTAGCGTCACTAAGCAAAGAATGTGAACTTTGCAGTAGTCGAGACCATTTCACTCTACAATGCCTCAAGTATAAAGAGAAGAACGAGAATGAAAGACATCGATTAATTCTAGACAAAAGAATTTGCAAAAATTGTATATTAACCACTTCTCATCGCGCGATAGAGTGCGATTTGAAAGGAAATTGTGGATTCAAATTTGATAAAGCAAGCAGATGCACCGGCAAGCATCATATCACAATTCATCATGCTGAAATTAATGCAAGACGTTTCGGACAATCGAAAGGTCCATACAAGCGACGTTCTAACACTAAAAAGAACACTACAAATGCTGCAACAAGAACAAAGGATGCAGCTGACAATGCTTCAGCACCTTCAGCACCAACACCATCAGCACCTCCAGCTGAAACTAGCGCGTCATCAAATGCAACTTTTCAAGCTAATGCACCTCGTAATTACAATGTAACGAATGTTGGATGTACTCTCGACTCGAAGTCACTGAAATCAGTTAAAGTCTTTAAAGTTAAGTTTTGGGGTCCAAAAGGATACATAGTCGCATTAGCAATTGGTGACAGCGGAAGTGAAGTTACTCTGCTGCGAGATGACCTACGTCAGAAGTTGGAACTGCTAGGAAAA